TTTGAATGCGAACCTGGACCTCCTGCGCGCTATCCCAAGCCTCTATCCACTGAGCCTCATCTTTTGGCTCAAGCCAAGTAGCACCTCTAAGCGAAGCTCTTATTTTCCCTGGTATAGTACTGCAGATTTGTAACATCCATCCATCCGCACATCCATCTCAAAGGTAAAACGATACATCCACATTTACTTCCACATTGTATCGCCTAGCCATCACAGTCCAGGTAGGCCAGCTGTCACTTTTCATGACTGTACTTCAAGAAGTCGAAGAGTTGCTCTAGTTTTCCTGTAGCAGCATTTGTGTTCTTCAAATCTGAAAATGGAGCCCACTCGTGGAGGTTCCAGATGGATGATCCTTTATGACCTCTGAAAAGGACTGGATTTGAAAGAATCTCTTGAGCGCCTGGTGGAGGCACGGGGTGACAAAGCTCTCAACATTTCCAAATTTCCGTGAATTCAAACGGGGCCGAACCTCCATTGAAGATGAACCCCGACCGGATCGATCTCCATTTGCTATCACACCAGAAAACTTTGAGTTGGTCCAGCAAATGATTACTGAAGACCCTTGACTTACCCATGCACAGATATAAAATCATTTGAGCATTTGCTCTGCTGCTTCTATTTTGTATGGACATTTGGGCCTTTGCAAAGCTGTTTCCCGCTGGGTGGGTCATACCGTCAGATTTCCAAAAAGAGATCGGTAAATAAGTGCCATGACACGCTCAAAGAATTCAACCAGGGACGTTCAGAACTTATATTTGAACTAGTCACTGGAGATTACCTTTGGATTTATGAATTTAATCCTGAAACGAAGCACCAGAGTATATTGGAAACTTTTTCGAGTGAGCAAGCCAACCACCAAAATCCGTCTGCAGTGTCGGGAAGCAATAAACTAAAATCTAGCATGAATCCAGAGAGTTGTATTCATTTCCTCCTCCCTGTCAGAATTCGATTAAAAATCGACGCAAAGAGTGGGGAGGGGGGATATAAAATTCAGCGCCAACCCACTCCTACGCAATTGGAGGAATGGCAGCGAAGAGTGGGTGGGACAAGCAGGCGCAGGTAAGAATCCTCACTAAAACTCGTCCTTTGCGTGAATGTATAAAAACGTCGTTTTCTTTTGGGCTACCGTGCACTTCAATGCAGTCGGCTTTCGCTACTCAATTCGACAGACGCAAGCAAATCAGCCTTTCCATGTACTTTCCCTTCTGGTTCCCAACCGTGAGTCCTCTTATATTTCCTCTACTGCTTACACATGATTTTTCCAATGTTCCTCCAAGAAGAAGAAGAAGAGAGTTTATCGTTTCCTCTCTGTTTAATCGATTGAATTCTTCCATATTACCACAAAATGTTCCTTATAGGTGTGTCATCGCAGTAACATAACGCAAACATCCATGTATGGCGCAGACATAACAAACATTCAAGTCAATCTAAGAAATAGCATCGCAAAAATAGTTAAGAAAGGACCGAACTCGAGTGAGGTTCGTTTGCGACGTGATATGTTTCTAATGCTCTATTTAGAAATGCATGAAGCAAGAGATAAATACATCTTATAAGAAATGAAACATAAGTTGAAGAAGGTGACAGAAATAAAAAAACAGAGAACATATGAATGGGAAGGAGAGAGAAAGCGAAGCGAAAGAAATAGAATAAAATCATAATAATTACTCATGGAAGGGGCAATAAAATGAATCAGGAATGTATTTTAAAAAATCAGCTTGTGATGAGAATTGTTTTGTGAGCGACGAGCTCTGAAGAAAGCGAAGCTTCAAAATAGAGAGCACTTCCTCTGGAGATATTACGAGCTGTTCTTAGTCATCATCAAGTTTTTCAGTGTTATGATTACAGTAAAACGGGATTCACTCTTACCACTCCTAATACTCATTCTTGAAGGAATTTGAAGGTGACAGTGTCTAATCGTCCCCGCGAAAGTGAAGCGCTGTGTGGGCATCCACTCAGATCACAGCGCTCCACATCGAAAAAAGCAGTCTGGATGGAGGTCTAACTGTGACGCAATGAGGTTTTAACGAAATAGAAAGATGACAGCTTCTGAAAACAAGGTTGCCAATGCCCTAGCCCTTTAGGACATTTATGGATTGTAGCCCTTAGAAATGCACCCTGTCCTGGACTTCTGCATTACCTCTCTTTGGGTATCCGCTCCCGTAAAGATCAAGAAGAGTGTGAGCCTTCGCTTCACGCTATCAGTAATCGAATTACACTGTATCATGAGAAATTAACACGATTAAACACGACACGGAGGTGGTACACAGCCGGTTTGCTTCACCGATATGTACATTTTTCATTTATACTTTTTACTTTGAATATTTACGAGTCCAAGAAAGATCGGATGAGAAAATTATCTCTGCTTGCGGGAATCTACAACATGCAATGCAGATCGAGAATATGAATCTCAGTCTAGCAATAGAGTTAGGTAGTATTTGAAAGAGTATTTAAAATATATGATATTTGAAATATATCATGCTATTTTGTACTTGTATTTTACTTACTTTGCTTGAGCATTATCTCGAGTACTTTAAACTCATTTCTTAGGGGTTGAGTATTTTAAAGGCGTTGAAATACAAAGCCAACTTTTCAGGTTCCATTCGAACCCAATAAGAAAACGTATTTGCATTCTCCAAAGTATTATGACAAATGCTTTCCAAACGTGTTTTTAATAGAGACCTTCACAAATATTTATACTCAGTATATAACATAATTTAATGGGGTATTTTGTGTATTAAATACTCTCGAAGGAAAGTTTACCTGATGCTGTCCAGACCTTCGTTACGTGAGAAGAATAGGACAACAGCCTTATTTTAATTTCATTCAATAAAGCTATTCTAGAGCCAAGCTCTCATGCTATCTAAAGAAAACTAATAAAGAAGTTTATCCAGTGCACTCAATGTACTCGTACTCAATGTACAATGTACCTCACGAAGCAGCCATCAGCTAAGACGTTAGAATTCGCATTGAAGAGGCATATCATCGAGGAACAACAACCCTAGTAGCATATAACGTTGAAACAACATTGATTCAACATCTAGACGTTGAAGCAACGTTGAATTCAATGTTATATGCTACTAGTTGAGGACCTAATATGGAGCCTTAAAACAAACCGGTAGAGACTTTCACGGATGACTTTCACATTCTGTCATTTTGAATTGTAACTTCTCGTCAGAGAGGATTTGATCAAGTCATGAATGTTACCTTGCATTGCGTGTCATTTGGTCAGCAAAGTTTCATGAGGTAATTTATAGGAGGAGGTGGAAAACGGGTCTCTTTTGCATGTCCTGTTTTTTAGATATCTTGAGAGAACCAATGGAAGGTCTGCTCATCCTAATTACATGCATCCGTTGGTCAATCGTTGCACCACAGGAATTGTTATGTCCGATAAATATACGGCTCCACTGATCGATGATTTTGTAGCGTCTACACCGCTCTTCCTGCAATGCTTCCATGGATGCCTGTAACGAACTTGAATTCTGGGGGAAACCAGCAATCAAAACACGGCCAGCTTTTCGGGATGACCTCTTTAGATGCTATCGAAGACCATGGGCCGTGAGAACAAGCCTCAACGAACGCGATAAAACTACAGTATAGTGTGACGCTAGCGTTCATTTTCTTGAATGGACACGAGTTTCACCAAGGTCGGCAGCGTTGTAGCTGAGGGCTGTGCATGTATCCATGGAGAAGAGTGGCTATTCCAAGAGAGACAAGAGGGTACCATTCTAAGAGACAAAAGCAAGCTCTTCCTCAAGTAGAACAGAATGATTGAGCTAATATATGAGGGATGTTGACTTCCTAGGAATGACGTGAGGCCACTGAGGCATATGTCTCGGTCCTCTCGTTTTCATCACTTTACCGGCGCTGCCCCGATGATTTATTTATATATATTCTGTTCTCTATATTGTAGCGCACGCACGCAAACCCCAACCTTGTCCCTACGCACTCACAACATGATATGAAAATCCTCCTGGACAGAGAGCCAGCATTAAGTATCGCGTCAAATTTCGTGCACATTTAGAGGAAAGTCTTTCCGGATTTGGCTGAATCCTGTTTAATTGGCTGCCGACACCTGTTCATTGTCGCTAGTTGAATCCTCATCCTTCGTTACTTGTGCTAGAATCCTGGAGTCTCCCTGGCCTCGGTTACATCTTAAAAGAAATCCTCCTCTGTTGTCTGCTCGACAGCTCGGATACCGTGTGAAAAGTACTTGAGACTCGTTCCAGTTGCATCAAGAAATGACTCGCTTACTTCAGGGATGGAGACACCATCTCACGTTTGTGATGGGAACCTTCTGCGTTACCTTTGGGTGGAACATTTTCAGTCGGGTTTATGTCGGTCCAACATACTGTACGTGTTTCATCTTTGAATAAAGCAGAAATTATATATAGGGTGGTTGAAAAAAACGCTCTACCGTTTTCTATGGGAGAAACAGAGTGTCAGAAATGCAGTGAAAAAAATACATTGGATACGCGATCGAAATTTGACAGTTACAAGGTATTGAAATGCTTCCCAGCTTTTTTTTCAGCACCCCTGCCTTAGTTGTGCAATGCCCATTTAGAGGCGAATTAATTCGCCTCTAAATGGGCATTGCAAGCATTTCAACACCTTGTAACTGTCAAATTTCGATCGCGTATCCAATGTAATTTTTTTTGCTGCATTAATAAAACTGTGTTTCTCCCATAGAAAACGATAGAGCGTTTTTTGTTTAAAACCACCCTATATCGACAAGGCCGGTAGCCATGTAAAGCACGACATTGAATCAATCTTGATCACCGTCTCGGCGTTAGCAACGTTTGGTTTGCACGAACCCAACATACTATTCTATCTTGGCCCATTCGGATATTTTTCGTGTTCACTTCTTAATCCGCTCTTTTCCCTTTAACGATTCCTAATTTCCCCGCCGCCAATGGGAACTTGAACCTCGCGGTCGAATGTTTTCTTACTTTATTTCGCCGAATACAGGAGGAGTAGAATACAATCGTTGGAGTAAGTGATTCCCGCGGATTGTCCTCATGTATGTGCCACGATTTTGTCGAATCGAGCCCGATAGTAACCGATGAATTCTCTGAAGCCGTTCGGGAGCAACGTGTTCAATAGGGCATCTGGCATAAACGACAGATGCATGTCCGTGTTGTAGATCCACTGGAATAACGTCTTCCCGTCTTCTTCCGCTGGAGAATACGCGAATCCCGATCCCGAGTAACACGTCGCCCTGGAATGCCATTTTCCACGCATTCATTCCCATAGGGATCAAATGCTTCATTTGTTTTGATAGATAAAACTTTTGAACCGACTGGACGTAATCGTCTGAGGCTTGAACATCCTGGCAAGTGGTGCTGACAGCAGAACTGTAAATCTTCTCCCCATCCCTTTCCCAATGGCACAAGAGCAGAATATCTCGGCTCCAAATCAAGCCGTTTACAAGCGGGTTCGTGATTTGTCGAATTATTTGGCAATTCTCGCTGATCTTCTGTGAACAGAAGGAACATTATGAGGATGAACAAGGACAAGGACAACATCGGGATGCTCATAACTTTTGATACGGCGGATAGAATATGGAATTGAAGAAGATTGCATTTGATTGCTCATTTTTTAATCCCAACACGGAAAGAATTGGCTGGAGGTGTATGCAATGGATGAATGCAGACATCTAGGATACATTTGATAGGATTGTTGGATGCGAGATTCCTTTTTGAAATCGACCTGATTGATTAGTTGTGTTTCGATGAAGTGCATTTGAATTAAAATGAAAGAAAATAAAACTTTTCTGTTTAGCCAAATAATAAAAACCAGTAAAATCAAGAATATATCGTAAAAATGTAATGCAATGGTCATCAAAACAAATAGTATACTTTTTGAAGAAAAAAACTGTGTTAATAGAAATTACAGAATATCGAGAGAGGCTCGTGTGCTCTGTGCCGTATCTCCTGATCTGACACTGCAGGCACGCTCCTCCCGGCTTTGGTATAATTCTATAAACGATGCGATGAACGAGGTATCGTACCCACCTGGATGATAAAGCTTTGAGCAACATTCGGATTCCACTTGGCATAATCCCCAGCTCCATTCCAGTCTTCGTCGAGTGCTCTTTCGGGCGGTATGTTCAGGGTCGTCTACATACGATACCGTGTAGGAGTAGGGAGGAAAGTGGGAGGTCCTTATAATGGAGCCTCGGGGATGGGAAGAGATCTTACCTCGATGAGGAAGCTGGTTCTCTGGATGTCAGCGTCGTAGAAGGATTTCACGGAGATGTCTTCATCGGAGTAAATCCAGAGGGTTTCCCACGGGGCCAAAGTAAGCATATTCTTCATTGCCGAAGTGTTACTTTTCCCCTCCTCCAAGTATTCTGCCTCCTGCAGTGGAAGACAAGGGTCGAAATCGGTATTTTTTTTCTCTCTATTCCTACTTAAAGTTACCCACACAAAAATAGCATTCCGCTTATGATTCGAAATTTAGGTTCACGTAAGCGTGGGATTCGAATCCCGGTTTTCACATGTACAGAAATCGTCAAAAGTCTCTCACCCTGGAGGGTGAGAGACTTTTGACCACCCACCCTCCATTCTGGAACTTCCATGATAGGCCGAGTGCTGATCAGAGTTTATTCCGTGTGTGCTTCGATAATCACTTGTGTGATATGGCTTTACCCATCCATACCCATCCATTACGTGGTCATCTACCTCCCTTGTCATTCGTTGGATCCAGAGCTCGGATAAAATGCTGTGGCGAATGCGGTCAAGTGTCACAAGAGGAAGTATTTACTCGATCGATGTAAGGAATCCAAAGATCTGGCCGATTTGACTCGTTCTGGCTGACCGCGTGCAACGAGACGCCAAAACAGAACGAACAGGTTTTTCCGCTCGCCGATCAATAAATGTTCACAACGAGCCGCGACATTGAGAATCGATTGAGGAGGAGAGGGGTCGAGATCAGCCAGTCAGTCTATCATTCGGCGCCGATCGGATGAAGCAGGGGTGAAATTTAGTCCTCCGATGTTCAAACCTCTGCTCACTAAAGACCATCTAAACGCTCGTTTGAAATGGGCTGAAGCCCACCTGTCTACAGACTGGGACCAGGTGATCTCGGGTGAAACAACGGTGCATCTGAATCGGGTGAAAGGGAGCGTCCCAAATCTGGCGGGAAGAAAAGAAAGTCGCCCGAACCGTAATGCACTCCACCGAAGTCAACGTGTGGGGTTGCTTTTCGAGCAGAGGCTTTCGTCGCATCGTTTGCTTCAAAGAGCACCTCGACGCCGTGCTGCTGCGCAACATCTACGAGCGCGTCACAAAAACAATAGCCAGGGACCGATTTGGTCTCGAATCGACATCGTTGAAAATGCAGGAAGACGATTACCCGAAGCACAAGACCAAGTTGGCTACGAAGTGGAGTGTAAAGAATGGGATCGGAAAATGTGTGGAAACTACTCACGGTACGGTTGCCAAAAAAAAATAACTCAGAGCTTATCTATCCCTGATGTCGGCAATCAGACGAAAGTGGAAAGTACTCCCGAGGGATTTGGGTGCGTGACTGAACAAAGTATGAACACTCGTGTTTCTGAAGTCATTGAAAGTCAGGGTGGTTTTATATTGCATTAGTGATCAGGGTGTCCTGTGCACATAAATAACCATCACTCCATCGGCTCGTCTGATAAAGTTAGAGGGGTTGGGAGATCTTTAGACGAGTACAATAGGTCGAGTCAGAATCCTGAAGTCCGTGAAAATCATCTCAGGGTTCGAGCTCTGAAAGTGTCAGGTAGGGGTTCCTAGAGGACACCTACAAATTTGACATCTACAGGGTGACCGGAAAGTTCGGAGACACTCAAAAATACCAATATCCCGATGCCATGAAGAACAATAAATGTTTTTTTTTTTTTAATTTCATAAGAAAGAACATAAGAAAACCTTCAAAATGAGTTAAACATCTTCAAAATAGCCCCCATTGGCAGCAATAACTTTTCTGAGGCGTTTTGGAAAATTGTCCACAGTTTCTCGCAGCTGTTTCACAGGGATTTCGTCCCATGCTTTCAGCAAAGTTGACTCGAGGCTGTCCAAATTTTTCGGCTGAGTAGCACAGACCTTTGCCTCCAAAAAGGACCAGATACTATAGTCCATAGGATTTAAATCAGGGGAGCAGGAGGGCCAAGCATCTGGACCAATAAAATCTGGCAACTCGTGCACGCACCACTCTTTTGTTGACCGGCTGGTGTGAGCTGGGACATTGTCTTGTTGAAATGTCCAGGAAGAATCCCCAAAATAATCCCTTGCCCAAGGATAGAGAACCTTCTTCAGAACTTCATTTTGATAGTAATTGGCATCGATTTTGATGTTAGGAGCCACAAAATGCAAGGGTGTTTTACCGTCGGCTGTAATGCCACCCCAGACCATGACAGACTGGGGTTTTTGCATTCTTTGCACAAACCGAGATTCTGACAAGACTCTGGACCCTTTTCTGGCCCAGACACGATCATTTTGGGGATTAAACGCTTGCTGAACTGTAAAAACTTTTTCATCTGAGAACACGATCCGACGGTGTGAGTTTCGCTTGAATCTCGCCAGTAGTTTCCTTGATTTTTGCTTCCGCAATTCCTTGTTCTTCTTCGTAAGCACCTGAACTATTCTTTTTTTGAAAGGGAAAATGCCCAACTTCTTTCTAAGATAGGAGCGCAGAGTTTCGCGCTTGATCTTCAAGTGCTTTGCAAGACTTCGACACTTCCGTTCCGGGTTTCGATCGAGAAGCTGTTTGACACGCTTTCGAAGAGCAGGATCCTTGAAGACACTGGGACGGCCACTTCTGGGTCGATCCTGAGTTGTACCAAGTTCCTTGTAGCCGACAATGGCTTTGTACACAGTGGATCGTGGCAGTTTCAGCTCCTTGATGATCTTTGCAGGTGAATGACCTTGCTGAAACATGTAAATCACAGCTTCTCGGCTGAGTTTCGATGCCATATCTGCACCGGGAGGAGTCATATTTGCGATGCAAAAAGATTAAGCCTAGAGCTAGACTCGTGGAAGAAATGAAGCCTCACACTTGAAAAAAATCTAAAAATTTTTACAAGTCTCCGAACTTTCCGGTCACCCTGTACATTGACTGACATGTACGAGGGGGGTTCAAAAATTTCTGACGTTCGACTACTTCAGAATGAAATTCTCGAAACCTATTACGCTGCTGATAAAATATATTCCATGAGAGCATGGTTAAATAAAGTTGGCGTCTTTTGAGCTATTATCTATATTACATATATTTTTCCATCCACAGGCAATTCTATCGAAGTTGATGCTATCGAGGCCAGAGCAGTCATAAAATTTTAAAAAAGGCAAGAATGCAACGGAGTCACATGCAGAGATGGTGAAAGTGTATGGCACAGAAACGCCTTCGCTAAGGACGGTACAGCGCTGGGCTGATGAAGTCAGGCGGGGCAGGAGGAGCCTGGCGGATGACCCACCCAGCGAACGACCAGCGACAGGCACCAACCAAGAACAAGTTGCTGCAGTTGAAGCCATTGTGTACACTGATCTTTGATTCCACGTCACCCAGAAAGCCTACCTCTAGCTTTGTTGACTCTGTATGGAGCACTCTGCATGAACACTCGCTCCACAATCGCTTCAACTGCAGCAACTTGTTCTTGGTTGGTGCTCGCGAACAGGACGACCAGCGAGCGTCGCTGGTCGTCCGCTGCGTGATCATCCGCCAGGCTCCCGCTCCGCTTGAATTCAGCAGCCCAGCGTTGTACCGTTCCTAGCGAAGGCGCTTCTATGCCATACACTTTCACCATCTCTACATGTGCCTCCGTTGCATTCTTGCCTTTGATTTAAAAAAATGTTATGACTGTTCCTGCCTCGATAGCATCAATTTCGATAGAATCGCCCGTGGATGGGAAAAATAAATGTAATATAGATGATTGCTCAAAAGACGTGGCTGTGCCAAATCTATGCAATCATTCTCTCGTGGAATATATTTTATCTGCAGCGTCATAGATTTCGATGATTTTGTTCAGAAGTGGTCGAACGACAGAACTTTTTGAATGCTCTTCGTATAACTATTTTAATGATCAGCTGTTGAGAAATGTCATGCATCATCGGCTTCCATTGGCGGTAATACACTTGTAGATGTGAAAATTTCGTTGGAAGCGTTCATCTCTTCAAAAATTTATAGTAATCGCATAATTTCAAGTCTCAGGTTAAATTGTTGCTCATTGTCTCGAATTATGTAACGAGGAAAAATGTCCCATGGCACACAAGAAACTACAGATGGAACGAGCCGTGTGCTCGCTCAGTTCTAGGGCTAGTTGTGTCTGCAGTAGGACAGGTGAACATTTTTTTTCGTGCTGAATCACCTAGAGACATCATGCCTTTCTCCTGTACAAAGAGTATTTGTGATGCTGAGTAACTCTAAGTATCCTACATAGTCTTTCTGGAATGAGAATCTACAAACAGACTCTCACCGTTCTCTCTTAGTCCAACGCAAAACTACAGGATGGTACAGAGGCCAGGTGGGCTATCGAGGACGTCGTAACAGGCAGACGCATGAACGCAGAGCTCTAACTGCAGGATGCGTACAGGAGACGATGCCGACGTCACATGGTTTGAGAGGGTTGTGGGGAGGGGGGGGCTTCGCCAGCCCTATGATCCTCATCCTAAACCTCTGACGTCATCATCTGGCTATGTTAGTCCCTGAAAAGTTAGATCTCTGTTTATTCACGCGTCTGAATGTCTTGATGTCCATGCAATGGGTCTCCTCACTTCCGAACCTCCATCTACGTATATGACTGGGACTTAGCTCATCTCACTGGGGATAAGAATAAGAGGAAGTTCTCTGAGTTACATTGGTCCGATGTCTCATGTTCTTAACATAGTCACAACCAGGGGCCCGTTTCTCGAAGCATACAAGTAGTACAAGTTACAAGTATTAGTCTTGTAAGTAACAAGTTTATGTTTCTCGAAGAATTAGGATCCCACTTGTAATTACAACTGTGTGCGCTTATAATT